TACGATGTAGTCAATGTATATACCAATATATTATTATATAGAATGCATATTACTTCCAACTCAAAGAATTTTAATTTTAACTTATAAATATATAATTATGATATAACACGCCTATATTTATTTTGATCACGCGATTTAATAAAAAAAAAAAAAACTTATTTCGGAAAGTTTAAAATGAATATGGTAAAAATTATATAATTAATAATATCATTTAAACAAAATTAACGAAAAGCTTCGACACTATGTTTAAGATCGATTAGTAAATAAACTCCAATAAAATAAATAATAATATAATATTTTGTAGGTAGGTACTATATTAATTGACACATGTATACCTAATACTTAAAACAAGATATTTATCAGTATTATTGTTTTATTATACAATAGGTATCTATATTATTTGGATTCAATTAAACTTAATATTACTCATTATACTTTTCATATCATGTTTAGCTTTCATACTTGTTGGAAAATTAAATTTTTTATTTGATATATTATAGCTAGTATATAATAGGTACTACAAAATATTGTCTGATATGGACCATATGGATGTATAGTGTTTAATGTCTTAAACCCAGGTTTATTCACCTCTAAAAACAAATCCAACTCTTACAATATATTATGTATCAGTCCAAGTTTTGCATTTATCGTTATACAGAATAAAAACGTTATCCAAGTTTAGCGTTTATCGTTATTTAAAATAGTGTTAATAGTTAATACCTATTAAATTAAAAAATAATAACTAATATGGCCCGGATACGGAATATAATATAATAATCAATTCTAAGATTCTTAGATTGTTTGCATGGAAAAAATGTTTCAACGAAACCAATAGACCTTTTAAATAAATACATTTTAAAATATTTCTTTTTGCGTTATTTTTCGTTTAATGATGTATAATATATTTTGTTAATCGTTAGGTTTTGTTTTGCGGTATTTAATTATTTTTTAATATCGATTTCTGTTATAAATGTTATAATAACGTTTACACATTTTCATCGGTTTTTGTCATAACGTTAATATAAAGTTTGCAAGCCCTGGGTTGTACCTCATGTACTTAAAATAAATATTATTTAATTTAAATTTTTTTTTATATTTTTTTAATGTTTTTATTTAATTTCGAACATTGTCTGTTTGTCCACTCGATTTCTCGACAACGGCTAAACATGCAGGGATAAACTCGGTATATTCTGAGTCAGGATGAGCTCTAGTTGTGCATGACGAAGAGCTTTTTCTAAGATTTAATCTTGATATCAGTTGAAAGTAGTTATTCAAGTTACATCATATGCAGTTAAACTTGTTAATTTGTTACATATTCTAAATGTATATTATTTTCTATAAAGAATTGTAACTTTCTGATCATTTTATATATACCATCCGGTTTCTCAAAGGATTTTTTTTTTTAAGGCTTGAGAATCTTTTTTAATATCTGCACTTGATGGTGGCATAATTATGGAAATTTGGTAGATATACCAAGAAGTTTAGGTAATCTAGAGAAAAACAACGTATTACTTTTATGTATAATTTATTGAATCAAACTATAACTACCTAGGTTGTAGGTATAGATATTATTTCAGTTTTGTTTTATGACTGGGAATTTGAGTTCTTGAAACGAATTTTTGGTAACTTATGAACCCCACGCTATCTTGTTGCCTTTGCCACTATCTTACCATCACAATACTTATATCTAATTTATTTATTTTAAGTTGTATTCAACTTTTACTTCGTCATAAAGGTAATTGGATTTGTAAATAATACCATACCTTGAGTAAAATAATTACAGACATTTTAAATTAGTTTTAATTCATTTTAACTATTAATATTACTTATCTACTTTGAAAAATAATTGATTAAAAGACACACATTAATTAAATACTTATTTACATTCTTTTTTTAATATCAGTTAATTAATTTGTGAAAGAAAGACTATTGTGAGTATTTTTAAAAATAATACGCCGATCTCTTATTACGTCAATTAAAATAATATTGCTCAAAATATGAATTTTAAATTATTTATAAATATTTGGGTTTGTCGAAGTAAATTTGTTAAGTGACATAATTACATACATATTTGGGACAATTTGTCTTTTTAAAACTTCAGTTAAATCATGTATTTTTTATGTTGGGACTTGAAAGTGAATACTTTCTAATTTATTTTATGTGAAATAAAATATTAATATAAACTATTCTAGTTATAGTTAAATAAACATAAGTATTTTGATAAAATAGTAGTGTTATGCAATATATGTAAGTATTATAACCTCGAAAGATTTTTCCGGGTAAAATTATAAATAATAAATAAAGAATACTAATGAACAAGTTATACAAATAATATACTTGCTTAAAACTCATCGTGACCTCGAGTATTTTTGGCCAGAATACTTTTTTAAAAAATAAATAAGTCATATTTTGAAAAAATGTTCAAATACTTATTGAGTTCTTTGATGAAAAATAAATACTTTAACAATTTGTTTAAAATAGAATTAACTATAGCAACTTAATGTTAGATGATCGATTCACCATCCATGTTCTTCCTTAAAACAAGTCGTTTGGCTAAAATACTGTTGGCTTAAAAAAACCATTAGGTATGTTGTATATTATAGTTGTCTATATTATAATGTAGCCAATTTTATTTCATTTGTTAAGGAATAACGATTGCTTCATTTTTATACTGAATTTATGAATTTAAATTCAAGGCATTATTCAAATGTCTAAGTAAGTAATGTAACAATGAAAAGCTTTAATTAAAATACTTAAAAGCACATACAAACTAATTTTTGAAAAAAGTTGCCTATTTTTACAGAGCTTATTGCAATTTATCTCAAAAGTACATTTTGTTAATAGATTTTACTATAATTTATTATTAAATACAAACTTGGACTTAGCTTATGTCTGCATATTTTGCTGTATTTTAACGAACTAAAAACATCATATTTTCCAAAATTTAAGCATTTTTTAATAGTTATTACCATCGCATATTAAAGCCAATTTTCATATATAATATGCCGATTTCTTTCTTTTTTACTTGCAATAAGTCGCGAATTCATTTTTTTAATTTATATTATATTATTTTTTATTAAATCTTACATTTTATTATGCAATGTTATTGCAATAACTTTTTTTGAAAGCCATATTCTTTTTAATTGTATGCCAAATGTATAAAATTACGATGATATAATATACATTTGTGTATTAAATGAATAGATGATTTTTACAAGAAATAAAATTAACATAGTACAACAATTGTATTACACTTCAGCTGATAAAATATACATTAATAATTTTCTCACGTATAAGTGAATAACTAAAACTTAAAACTTGCAGCGTGTGTTTCTGTTTTCAGAAATAAGTTGTTTGATTGACATACACATTTACATTCTTAGTTTTTACAGGTTAGGAGGTTAGGTATTGTATAAAATCCATTAGACAATTTTCTGTTGAAAGTATTTAGAGAAGTTTCTAAAAATATTCATCAATAAGTTTTGACTGTGATTCAAACACTTGTCAGAATACAAAGTAGTGCTATATATAGCTATGTATAGGTGACATGGAATATGTTAAATAGTCTTAATTTTATAAGATATATTATATTATATTTTATATCCTCATTATGATTCAAATAAGTTATTAATCGTACTTATAAATATCAGCGTACGACGAAATCGTCCAAAGCATTCAATAATATCACATTTTTCATAAGAACGTTACATATAATGTTAAGACAGTGTGAACACCAATAATAATAATAGTGTGACATGTTTTTCGTTCGTTGATCTTGCCTAATGGTATTCCGGTAGTAAAAATACAACTGGACGAGTGCCGAACACAAACCTTTCAACGAGAATAAAATGTAATCGATTTTAAGATCTTATATCCGATGTGATAAATTATTTTTGCTAAATTATAATCACTATTTAAGTTGTTATTCTTGGCATCGCCGTTATTATAATCCTTCACCAGATGTTAATTTTAAATGGTCGATCGTACAACATCAACATTAGACAAACTTTTATTATTAAGTATTTAGTATGCCTCCCTTACACAGTAACATTATACACCCACCAATTGCCAAATAAATTGTACATTCATTTTCTGTTGTTATAAAATTATTGTTGTACGGTATACATCTTAAAAATAACCTACCCATATCGTTATTGTTGTCATAATTATATTTGAATAAAAATATTTGTTAAACACTTTATACTTGTGGTCTTCAATTTGTTTAGGGATTGGCTTGAAATTATGTACCTACCTATAGTGTACACAGTACACACGTATATATATAATATGAATAATGAATATAATGTGTTCGGTGAATGCAAATAATTTATAAGTTAAATTATTCGGCTTTTATGATAAATATTGATTGGACCTATTGTTGTTTATATTTATTAAACATATTTTTATGTTATGAAGGCTATGCAATATGCATAAACCTATTAAAATATCAAACATAATAATTTCCTCAATTTATCCATAATCTTTTAACATTTGTATAGAAAAAACCTTAAGTGAACGTTACTAAAAGATTATTTCATTTTAAAGGTTACTGTTTGACTAGTTTTTTTTTCGTTTGAAAAAATATGAAATGCTGAGCTTATATTCAAATTTGTGTGTTCTTACTCTAGTTAATATATTAGTTCGAGGTTATTGTATTGTGCACGCCATTAATAATAGTCCCAACAAACATGCCCTTGAGACCATTGTCGTGAAGTTATTATTGCATCAATAGGTATACCTGATATATGATTAAATACTGATGACGACTGACTAACGTATTTCAAAAGTTAGAATAATTTTTAAAAAGTACCTATCTGAAAAAATATAAATATATATTATGTTATCTTAAGAGTATCTTTTAAAACATTAATGCCTTGTATAGAAAAATATTATCCAAATGTTTTGAATGATAATCAAGTATAATATAGCTGCTATATCTTATTTATACAGTTTTAAATATATAATTTTTCGTAATCGTCTTATTTAAATTTTTTTTATAGATCTTCGATGCACGATCTCAAGCCAAGTACCATATACATTGCAAGCATTTTGGGGCGTTTCTATCCGGGAACTTCATCATTTCCTGTGGAAGGCATGGAGCTCATTTCAGACAGCCGTCAAGGATGATTCATTACTCCGTGGACATTATCAACATTGTGGATTAACTTTGCAGTATCCTTTCATTAACGCAAATATTTATCTAAGCACTGGTTATAATATATTTGACCGATTTAGCTGCTTTTCAATTTTTTTAATATAATATCTGCCTATATTTTGTTAGTTGAAATTAAATTAGTTGAAAATATCCTTAACTGTTTTAATGTTTAGCGAAACAAGCCATACCGAAAAAACCATTCAGATGTTTATGCCTGAGGGAAAATTGGATTTGGGAACTCCCCCTCGACATTGCTACCCTTTGGTTATATTCCTTATACGCGACACTCCCGAAAATTCCACTTTACATCCAGACGAGACGGTGAGTCCATATGATATAATTTTCTTGTCCTTGAAGTGTTTTTAAAATCTACATATTTCGGTAGGTATAAAACTCATAAAATACATGAGTCGATTAAGTCGAATTTATTTTTTTTCCCCTTAAAATACGAGTTATTGAGACTCGGCTGTTATCATAAATGTGGCTACAATATAATGTAACATAACCAGTAGTACACCTGCAGTAGGTACCTACTATTATTCTCGATGTATACATTATAATATAATATAGGCAAATTAATGATCATAAATTGGCAAGTGTAATTATTTGTTGTGGGTTCGTAGGTGGCATTGGTGAATGTAGTACATATCCGGGATAACGTGTGCACGTTGCCTACAAACATTTTGGCCCAGTACCTGAAACAAGCAAACGGACAATTGTCATCATTAAAGGTTAGTATATTATATTATATACGCATCGCGTTAAACGCGCACTTGGTAGGCGTGGTTCTAGGACTAAATTGTCGTAATAATATTCCTCATTTCCTCCCCCTTTCCTAATAAGGGGCACCAGAAATTTTGGTATGGACAGCTGCCCACCCTGCCCATACGCTAGAACCGCCACTGGCACGTGGTGTAGGTAATAGGTATGTAAGTCGTAGTACATGGCTGTGGCTCCATTTGTAGGATCAGCGAGGTGCAGTGCATTTGTATCCCCTAGTTAATTAAATCTCCCTTATTAAGTAGATACAATTAACAACCGCATAATTAGGTGTGAAAAACAAAAAAAAGGTATTTAACGAACAATGTGGTTGTTTTTGGTATCAATATAATATTATTGATACTACAGGTATTTTTATCACACTGCAGTTTGTGGGCCACACAACTACGCGAAATGACGCCACTGTGTATAAGTTACGTGCGGTAATTGTGGCTAACCTAACCTACACTACAGCTGTGCATTATCTACTATTTAGCTTATATTATTTCATCTATATGCATTAGATAAAATTTCCTTCAAGAGCGCCCACGCTTGCTTCTTCCACTCCGTTTAAGGTCTACTGAAAATTGTCGTTACCAGTCCATTATATTGTACTTACTTACTTTATACTTACTTAATAAGTATTAACTATACAAGTATTGGCCGGGTTGACAATCGATTATATTTCACGTCCACGTCATCGTCTTGCAATGGCACTATGGCAGTATTTATTCAGCGTGCGCCATGCCACAAACTGTTTAACATTCAGCATGATCAATATGAACTATAAGTTGTCTGTAGACAACAACATTTCTAATCATTTAGATAAGATATTTATATTATATTATTTAGTATTATTTTATATGGGTCACTTACACAGTGAGCTTCACAATTTAAGGGGCGTCACCCATTACCACACAAATGATCAAGAAACGCATTGGACAATACGGTGCACTAATTTTGATATCGTACCGATAGCCCCCATTACCATACGCTGTCCAAATATAATGCATATAAATTTTTAAATGTATCGAATTGCCAGAAATAATATTGACTGAAAAAATTAATTGTTCTATTGGTTATTTGCACAGTTAATCATTTGTCCGGTATCATGCAATTTTGTGCATTATTGAGTTGTGTTTGTGTGGTAATGAAAAGCAATTTCCAAAAGAAAAATAATTGTTCAATTATGTTATACATAAAAAAAAACTCAATTTTAGAAATATTTACATAAAAAATAGTCACATTTCCGACCATACAATGTTTACAGTGTGAACTAAACATAACAAAAAAAAAATATATTAATATGAATGACAGTGTTATTGTTTGTCAATGCTTATACTTGTTCAGTTGTTGATTTAATATCCAGACCAAAAGCCGCGGAAAAAACATAATAGATCAATACTTATACAGTATATAGGTCTACGGTGTACATGGTAATATGGTATAAGTGTATAACCATAATATATATTATGCAAGTTACATAACATTGTACAATATTATGCATAGATACCTATATATACCTACTACATATAAATTCAACCAAACGACATTAACATTTCGACCGAACCCGGCAGAAATGCACACCATATACTTATTATACTTATTAGTTATTAGTTATTAGTTATTTATTACACATTTACACGTTACCTATTATATTTATTCTTTTCTTTTCTCCTTATAAACTCGTTTTTTATTTCTAAAAATATTAATATTATAACACCTATATAGGTGCTAGTTATTTTATTGAAGATTTGGGTTTCACATATCATATTATTATAATGCCATTATGTAATAACGCGTGTGGTGTTTTTTTTTTTTTTTTTTTGTCCCCACAGCAACTCTATTTGGCCACCGGCAACGCTCTCAGTTACCAAGACGATGCCTGCAGCGACGACGCGTCACAGAGGGCTGTCGTTCTGGACAACAGCAGCGGCAGCTTGAACACCGGCCAGGAACAACTGTGCGTCGTGTGCCAATACTACCCGCTGTCCAGAGCCCTGTTGCCGTGCCGCCACACATGCATATGCGCATCGTGCTTCGGCAAGCTGGAGACGTGCCCGATGTGCCGCAGTCCGATCAAGAGCTACTTCTGCGTGCGCAACGAAGATTATTTGGCCGACTGCGCGTTGGGCCTAGAGAAAACGGGAGCTTCGGCCAAACGACAAGCGTTTTCCCAGTGGATTCAAAATAGTATTACGGAATTTCTCGGCCTACATTAGGTCCACCCACCCACCCACACCCTCGACACCCCGCCATCCCCCTCCCTCGCCAATCCCGCCATCATCGCCTCCACGAATCCTGCATTTCTCCTCCCGCACGGTCCTATCATGCTCTTCTTCTATTTATTACTCTTAACCCGAATCAGCCGTTTACCGTTAACATGCTGTATGCATTTTAACACATACGCGGTGTAAACAGACACTCACAAACACATCAATCGGTTTATAACAACCCTTTGTCGTACACGAATTAGGATGTATGTACATCCTACAATTCCTCCTCTCCCTTTCTCTCACCCCTCTATACAATGTAAATTATTCGATAAACATATGAAAAAATTGAAAAATTAAAAACGTACCTCAAACTTATGTATTTTTAACTTAGTTTGGCATATTCACCTTGAATGTATGTTATGTTTGTGACCCCCTCCTGTCCCTCCCATTTTATTTATTAAGATATTATGCACAAATATCATTGTATTTATAATGCTACATAAATCGGCCTAAAAATGAGGTATAACCAAAAACACGTTTACCACGGTGTTGTGAAATGTCTACTTACAGAAAAAATGTTGACATGTTCACATTTAGCACGGTGTTGGTGGTGTGAAATGATAAGCTATATTACAAACTAAAAGAACATATTGTGTAGAGACGCTAGTCGATCAAGTTCTTTGTATTTCCAGAATCACTAAACCAACGAATATAATAATATTATTCTCTATTTTATGAATTTATCACAATTGTTTCTCCCCTCCCCCCTATATAACATATCTTTTGTTATAGACTTATTTATCACAGAAAAGTTCCTTATACATAATATGTGTTATACTATAATATATTCGTAAATATTTTATTCTCTCGAAAGAACTATACGTACAACACTTAACTGTTTAAATTTCAAAATTGCACGAACGTAAATTTGAATAATATAATATTAAATAACAATAATCTTCCATAATGTAATTGTTGACGTGCTATCGCTCTGCATTTATAAACGCTATTTTTTATTATCTTCCGTGTGCATAATGTAATATTATAATGGTTTATAATTTATATATTAAATCATCATTATTATTATTAAATATTATTATTATTATTATTATTATTTTTATTATTATTATTATTATTATTATTAAATATTTATGTGTGTAAATTGTGCGGTAACTTGCCCCTCTCCTCAAAAGAAAAATCCTCGGGTTTAATATTTTGAAGAGGTTTAGCTAGAAGCCGAGCAATTCAATTACTATCATTTTATACATTATTTTTCATTAATTGTATTTTTTTCCTTTCGTTTTATATTATTATCTAAATCTTGTATTTATCGATTTCCCATTGAAGTATTGCGTATGGTCATAAAGTATATGCGACATTAACAATATGCCGTTATATTATTTTTATATTGTATTTGTATAATTGTAATGATAAAATTATATAAATGTAAACCAAATTATATAATTTATGAGTATGCGTATATAATATATTTATTATTTATACATACAAATTCTCATGTAGTTAAGAAATGTTGCTCGGCCCTTATACTCTCTTTTACCGACCTCAAAATATTGAAACAAATGTTTGTGTTTTAGAACACTGACCATAATAATATTATAGAGAGATCCCATATACTTATATAAGAAACGCACATATTATAATATACGATTACAATACATTGAATACTCCTAGTTGTATTTGTTGATCTACAAAACTGTATTGTTTTAATTTAATTTTAGTGTATACCGTTGAGGTGAATTTATATAAATAGTTTAAGGTGCATTAACGTTAAGAAATTTGCAGTTTTTCCTCTTAAAACGAAGAGAGTCTGTTAAGATTTTATGATAACTTAGTTATTACCTAATTTGTTTATGGTTAATATATTCACTCGGTTGGGCTAAGATGACAATGTACTAAAGTGTTTTGTCGTGAAACATCACTAACATAATTCTAATTATTATGATTTTTTTTTTTTTTTTTGTATGCCTATAATATTGAATGTGTGATTGTGATTAAATAAAAATGATTCAAATAACTTTTTTTTCAACAAAACATAGTTTTTATATTTTTTTAAATTGTATACGTGCCTCTGCAGATGTGAGCTGGGAAGCTCAATACAATATATTTTAATATATTGGCAGTAATATTATATGTATAATATAATATAATGCATGTATATATTATTATTATTATATATTTACACGTCCTAAATGTCATATTATATATTATAGGTTACCTACCTATGTACTCTGTGGAACTCTGCTACAGCTGCAGTTCAGCACAGACTATCGCCGATCTCATTATAAATACACCGTTTTTCTGTATAGGTACCATATAGTATATTATAATTGAATAATTGGATATTGAAGTGACGCAGTGCAGCAGCAGTTCTATACTACGTTTTAATTGCCGTGTGTTTAGTTTCCTGGTTTATATATATATTGGTACGTATATACAGATATATATGTAGCTGGTAGGTTTACCTACCATAAAAATGTACAGCAAATAATATTCCTATAATGGTACTACCTATACATAAACGCAATTTTTTTTACCGACAGCAAAACGCAATGCATACCTCCTATACGCGTGTCCCCATACTCGTTTTAATTTAATAACCGACACTCTATGGCAATAGGTACCAATTATTATGTATACGGCTGTATGCATTGGACAACAGTATATACCTACGGCGACCTACCATTTCAAACCCATGACCCTCCCCCCCGCCCACGTACGTCGTCACATAACGCCGCGAGCCAGTGGCGCCGAACCTATATAACCTGTATACATAATAATAATAGCATGCACACGAACCGAAGCGATAATTTCGTACAATAATTTCGGTGTATTTTTCCACTTTCCTATGTAGGTACCTACCTAATAATATTAATATACTAATATGTGGTGATGGTAAACATATTTTGGCTTCGAAACATTTATATTCGAGGACCTATATAGGCTATAACACGGCGCCACTGTTCATAATACTATAATAATTGTGTATATTATTTTGTTTTACCGCAGAAAAATGGCAATATGGGACGCGGTCAATCGATCTATAGACTATACTATACTACTACTACAAAAGTGATCGAAGTGTAAATAATTTACATAAGCAAGATTGGGGGGGAAGCCCCCTAAATATTCCATTACCTCCCCACCATAAAAAAAAACCAGACAACTTATTAGTTGTGTGCTATCGAAGCTCCCAAGGTTCACCATGCTGTTAAAAATTGTAGCACACCACTTCTCCCCACTGAAATTGTAATGGTACATTAATCCTATGATACATTTATACGATATTTAGTTATACACGCTACCCATATGATATTATGTGATGACTATTTAGCTCGATCCAAGGGACTATTAATGCATTGAAAATATGCATGAAAAAATGTAGCGTTAAGGCGTATTTCATCAAATATGCAACTATAAGACTATACATATTAATATGCAAATATAATTATACTAACAGGCATAACATAAATATTTAAAGCTATATAGTGTATAATATTATGTATTTATTTATGCAAATTTTCAATTAAAATTCTATGTATACTTAAGAAAATAATTTTAAATATAAAAATAAAACAACTTATAGGTACTCGTTAAATATACCGTACAAATATGTTTATTAATAATGAAAATAATTGATAAAAACATAATTTGGCAAGACGAGAGACACAACTATTTAAAATAGAAAAAAATAAAAAAAGTAACTCGCGTTGAAATCATTATACAATGTGTCCCGTGAATGAGTGACCGTTCGGTGTCATATAGGATTCAATTACCCTCAATAATTTTTACCTCCCCCGGTAAATATATCATAGGTTATAGTTACCGAAGGTAAATATATACATATACTAGGATATTTTGACATCCCCTGTGGGGTAAATATATCCTAAGATATTTTTACCATCGTTAAAATAAAACTGGAATATTTTTACCCCCCCGATTGAATGTGTACTAGGATATATTTACCCCCCGGTAAAAACTCCGTGTTAGGGCGGGTATAAATATAATGTGTTTATTTTTCATAGAATTAAAAATATATCTAGACTTATTCCTATCCTGAAGAAAGAACCATCATAGTTTATAGGCAATAGGATTATTCGTAGGTATTAAAAATACTTATTGTAATTTACATTTAAACACTTTTCCATTAAACTTGAATTGTAATATTTAATAATTTATGTAGGTATGTAAATTAGGCACATTTTTTTTGGGGGGAGGGGGTGTTTTGAATTTATAAATCCATTTTCCCTGTGGTCCGGCACTCAACCACTCCAAAATTGACGAAGGTAATGTATATTTTCTTATGTTAAATAATCAAAATCTATAGTTATTTTTATAAAAAAAACACTGTTTACTCGAAGTCTAAAACCAGTAAAAGATAGAAGAATCTAGGTAAAATTAAAAAAAATAGCGTTTAAAGCAACATAAGTAATCATTGTTAACAAAAGGTAAACAAGGGGGCTTGTTGATTTCAAAATGTTCTATTGTTAAATGTTAATTTATAAATTATAGATTTAAACTGCATTAATAATTTACTAAAAATTACCATTTATTCATAAGAGCTGATGTTTATTTAGTAGACATTTCTAATGTATAAAGTTCTTATGTTTTTACATTTTTTTTCATTAAAATTATGAAAATGTCTATTTAAAACAATAGAAATACGTTGTTGATTCAAATAGGTCATAGGTGACATATTGTTAAATGTGTGATAATCTAAGTGGAGCAAATTATCTAGTTGTTTTATAATTATTTTATTTTATTTTGTTATGTTAAATGCATAGGTACATTGAAATCTAAAATATTTGTATAATCCCCTTCCCAAAAAAGATTTAAAAATACAGCACTCCTTTGCCCCTTTGACCTTATGCTAGGTACTAATGTAAAACGATGTTTAAAACATTATCTCGACAATTATTAATACAAATTATATTAGATAAATAAATTATAAGTGTGTACTTAAGTAAGTTGAACGTTCAATGTTCAAT